AGTGATATAAGTTACAGAAATAACTGGACTTCTTGACAGCTATGTTGTAATCGCTCATCATATTTTTTAACTGTGTCCATTTTTGAGTCTTTTTGTCATCATAGTTTTTGTTGACTCTGGTTTGAAATATTGCTGGTTCTCTAATGTTTGCTCTTCCAGATTAAGGAAACTTTCTCTTAAGATATCCATAATATACAGGGGTGCCTGGGTGGCTCAGCAGGTTGTGTCCCAACTTTGGCTCACATCATGGTCTCACGGTTCGCGCGCTCGAGCTCCGCGTCAGGCTCTGTGCTGACACCTCAGAGCCTGGAGCCTGTTTCAGATTCTGTGTCTGCCTCTCTCTTTGCCCCTCCCCTGCTCACTCACGTGTGCTCTCTCTCTCTCTCTCTCTCTCTCTCTCCCTCTCTCTCAAAAAACAACAAACGTTAGAAGAAAAAAAAAGATGCGTATGATATACAGAAATAGGATAAAGTATTCCTCTGTGAACAAACTGAAGCATTTAACTTTTCTCTCTACTTGACCCCTGTGAAATTCAGAAAACTCTCATTGAGTGTTCTTTCTTTCATGGCAACTACAGTTATTTGCATAATTCAATAAGCATCTATTCTGATACCATTGGAAATACTGGTTATTTTACCAAGGCTTTGACTGGAATGTCATATTTGAGATACATGCATAGACTCAGATATGACCAGGCAGCTTTAAGAAACTGAGGTTGAATTTATGAAACATGCAGCCCATTGGAACTGTTGGCCTGATACCTTGCTTACATAGCTCCCAGCAGCCTTACCAGGTAAGCAAAGAAGGTCACTTCCTGGCAGGTGCAGGAACCTCAGGGTACTTCGGGGACCTTGAGAAGAGGAATTCACCCAAACCTATAGGTACTCTAGGCATGCCTGATGGCAAGCACTTGGCTCCTGACCTGGACAGGCTTTACTAAAAGTTCAATCTAGAGGTTCCTTACAAAAAAGCTCCAGCAAAGCACATTTTTTTTTTAATTTTAATGTTTATTTATTTTTGAGACAGAGAGAGAGCATGAACAGGGGAGGGGCAGAGACAGAGGAAGACACAGAATCTGAAACAGGCTCCAGGCTCTGAGCTGTCAGCACACAGCCCGACACGGGGCTCGAACTCACGGACCGTGAGATCATGACCTGAGCCGAAGTCGGACACCTAACCGACTGAGCCACCCAGGCACCCCCAAGCACATTTTTAAAACATCTATATGATCTATCACTATTCTTGCTAAGTTTATGTAAATAATTAGGCCAGGTTTGTTAAAATTAGACTTGTTTTACAAACAAATTAGTCTTTGTTTGGCTATGGCTCTCCAAACTAAGGTTTCCAATCTTCTTCCAAAAAGCCTTTTCTTACTGCAGACCTATCAATAAATAGATACTAGAATGCTCTATTAAATTATTCATGTCAGGCCAGGTTAATTCATAAATCTCTAAATGAATATGCAAACTATATCCTCCCTAAGCCTGATATGACAGTTACTAGCAACTCACCCCATGTAAACCCAGAAGACCTGGTTTATTTAAAGGATTGGAAACCTAAAACAGCAACGGATTTCACTCCATAACGGAAGGGCTCTTACCGGGCCATATTATGCACTCCTGGAAGGGCTCCTATGGGGCCATGTTATGCACTCCCACTACAGTAAAATTAGGAGGACATTTCTCATGGACTCATATATCAAGAATTAAACCGCTACCTTCCTCGTAGGAGTCTAGTATGTCAGCTGACACGCCTTCTTATTCCTGTGAACCTGTGGAAGACCTCAAATTTCTCTTCAAAGGACAATGAAGGACTGACGGAAAATTCTGATTAACTACCAAAGGTCTTTTATTTAGGCTTCTCTGTCTCATACTATTAACTTTATTTTATTGTCTTTTCCAGTGTCTCCCTGCCTCGTGCCAAGCCTCCTTCACTGCCATAACTTCTAGCTGACAGATGATCCTTTCTACTCAAGGAGGTTCATATAGGTTTTCTCCCTTGGACTGGCTGCCTCTGCCTTTGTAACTCCTCTATATAAATTCCTCAAACTGACCATTGTTGACCCATAGGTAGGGACACCTCTATGCCCCTATTAGCAGGAAGAAGTTACAGATGAGAAGACCTTCCACCCTCAGCAACCTTAAAGATTTAAGGATCAAAACTGTTCAAGGGGAAATGACATGGGAAACAAAGGCAGAAGGAAATGGCAGATAAAATTAAATTTCCTTATAACCTGCAGCTCACTGACAAATGCTTCAGGCTGGCAGAGTATAACATTCCTCCAGGAACACCCAACTGTCTTACTGTTAATGCTTTGCTAGAGGGGAAAAACAACTTTAGCTTGATGATAGCTAGGCCTCCAGGACCCTGTGAGTCTTCTTCAGCATATGAAAATCCTTTTGGAAACTTCCCCTTGCCTTTACCTCCCCCAGCTCCCAAGTATATTATCAGTCACTCCTTATAATCCTGGGGCAGCTCTTCCTGCCCATGGGTGTCCTGTCCCATGCTTTAATAAGACCACCTTTCGCACCAAAAGTGTCTCAAGAATTCTTTCTTGGCCATCAATTTCAGTTCCGTCCCCCACCCCCCACCAATATCCAACCATCACTCCAAAACCACAGCATTTTTATTTTATTTTTTTAATTTTTTTTTTCCAACGTTTATTTATTTTTGGGACAGAGAGAGACAGAGCATGAACGGGGGAGGGGCAGAGAGAGAGGGAGACACAGAATCGGAAGCAGGCTCCAGGCTCTGAGCCATCAGCC